CCTGTGCGGCTTTTCTCGGGTCTCCCTGCTGTGTGGGGGGGGGGGACTCCCCCCCAGCACAGCAGGGAGACCCGGAGCAGCTTTTCTCACCCCAGAGGACGCGGTGGCGGGACCGCTGCACTCTGGGCTGTCCCGCCACCCGCGAGCTCCGGGGCGAGAAAAGCCCCGTTCGTAAGTGCGGATCCCACATAAGTCGGATCATCGTAAGTCAGGGACTGCCTGTACTTGTCAAGTGGGGGGGGGGGACTCCCCCCCAGCACAGCAGGGAGACCCGGAGCAGCTTTTCTCACCCCAGAGGACGCGGTGGCGGGACCGCTGCACTCTGGGCTGTCCCGCCACCCGCGAGCTCCGGGGCGAGAAAAGCCCCGTTCGTAAGTGCGGATCCCACATAAGTCGGATCATCGTAAGTCAGGGACTGCCTGTACTTGTCAAACTAACTACAGAAATTTTTGCTATAAGCTGAGGACTTATCTGGGAAGTGAGTGGAGGAGAAAAACTAAGATCATAGGTGCAAAGAAGAACTACCAGCAAGGTCAGAAAGATGGAGGGGGGGGGGGGACAAAAACAAAAAACAAAAACCACTCCACACCCTACCTTATGAGAGGAGACAAATCTTGGGTTGTTAAGCCCAACCCAGTGATTTTCAACCTGTGGTCCACAGACTCTAAAATTTCCAAAGGGGTCTACATCTCCATTTGAAATTTTTTTAGGAGTCTGCAAATGAAAAAATGTTTGAAAACCACTGGCCTAACCAAAAGAAGGCTGATGGGAGATATGATTGCTCTTTATGAATACATCAAAAGAATAAATACCAGGAGATCAGGAAGAATTATTTAAGTGTCAGTGCTGAAAAGAACAAATGGATATAAACTGGTCATCAATAATTGTAAGCTTCAAATTAGATAGAAGTTTCTAATAATCAGAAAAATTAAGTTCTGGATCAGCCTTCCAAGGGAGGCAGTGGTGATTAAAAAACCTAAATAACTTTTAGACCGAGCATGGTAAGTTTATGCAGGGTCGTATCATGTGTGGCATGTAGCTAGTCTGCAATTGTTAATAGCAAATACCTAAAATAGACCATGGAGCACTCTAAGTATGAGGAGGGCTCTGTGTTACCACAGGAAATTCTTTGCTAACAAGCTGGTGGGTTTTGTCCACTTATTGAGAGGCCAGGGGAGAGGGGGCGCAACTGACAGCCTTATCTGGAGTCAAAAGAAATTTTCCCCAGGATGGATTAGCAGAGATCTCATGGATTTTCCACCTCTCTCTGCATCATGGGAAAGGCATCACTTGCACATTTAAACTAGCATAAATGGTGGATTCTCTATAGTGGAGGATTCTCATGATTTGAGGTCTTCAGTTACTTGGCCAGAGATTACAACGCTATCACAGGAATGGAAGAAAGAGGTTTCTGGTTTGCAACATGCATGAGGTCAGACATCTAGATCACGATGTTCCCTTGTGGCCTTAACATCTATGAGTGTACTATTGTAGGATATTTTCACAAAGAACTTACAAAGGGAAAACGTAACTAAATGAGGTACATGTACCTTTTTTTTAAATTTCATTAAAAAAATATAAAGTATGCAATCATATGTATGATGTATGTAAATGCCTTTTTATATTAAGGATGTTTTAAAAGAATTAAGAAATTTTAAACAAAAAAGAACACACCAACATATGAGTTTTATGCTTATGTTTCTTCTTTACTATAATTATCTTACTCCTAAGCATCAATATTTTTTCTTTGAGATTTCTTTGAGATTACAACATTAAACAAAATATAAATTAGATATTGAACAGTCTTAAGCAAAGATTACATTACATTATTTCAATAAATTAAAGTTCAAATACTGTGGAAATACCAGCTGTTGAAGTGATGCTTTCTTCCAGATCACACACTGATTTTATTTGGGAACTTAACCAAATACAAAGCTCAGAAAATTCAGGTGAAGATAATCCATTTTCTATTGCTTTGCTGAGCACTTCTTCCTCTAACAGAGGACCTTTATACCTGAACCGGGGGGAGGGAAAATATCAGTATAAAAACAGTCTGACAAATACAGCACCTAGATTTTAAATTTGTTTTCATTTAAGTTGTTTCCCAGTAGTTAGAAATCAGATTAATCCATTACAATTTTCGGAGTCACTGAACACATCTCTTACAAGTTTTCCTAAAACACCAAACACTACAAAAAAAAATTATGCAGCACTGATGTTGATCTTCTGACAAGGCAGGAAGCACGCATTTATAAATCACAAATATGTAAATCATTTAGTGTATTTATACTTTAATTTAAGATTTGGGATACGCTAAAGATATCAGATATCAGGACAATTTAAATTGACAGACAATTTTTAAAAAGTTATAAAGAAAACTGTTTTACTTCAAATTACTAGCAAAGAAATAGTTTGAAAATCAAAAGTACTTCTTGTTATTTATGCCCTAAATACATTTTGCATTTTCCTGAGCTTGGAAAATAGAAATAAAATCTTTCATTTTGCTCATAATATATTTCACTTTCTGGTTCTTGGTGCTGCAACCTTTGGGGTTCAGGTACAATAGAGGAATGTTCAAAGAATTTGTGCTGTAATTTTAAAAGTTAGATGTAAACCCATCCTTATTTTCATTTCTTCAAATCAATTCTCCCCAGCAGAGCTCATAGGACCTAGGCTTTTTCAGGATTGGCACATTCTACGCTGGAATTCCACTCTTGATGAATTTCTGTACCGAGTAAAAGGCCACACTGCAGAGATTTCTTCTTCAGTTCTTGCTTGGTCTCTTAACAGCATATAGGTCAGTCCTGGGCAACCTGCAGCCCAAGGACCACATGCAGCCCATCAAGATTCTATGAGTGGCCTGTCAGACATTTTGTTTACTGTTGCCCACCTGAAGGATTGCAAGATTTCACTTGTTTCTGTCCAGAAGCCTTTCCCCCCCCTACTGGTATTACTATAAAACCACGCACGTAAAAACAAGGGCATGTTAAGTGAGATATGTGCTGACTACACGCAACACTGACTGTCAGGGCCATGCGATCTCTCTGCATTCCAAGTGCTGCTCTGGTTCAGTCTACACCCTACAAATTCTAGGTATGCAAGCACAGTTATCAAAACTATTCTATCCGAGGAGACCATCTTGACAGATAATCTTGTGGCCTACAGAGATGATGGAGGGACTCTCATTCATAGGGATGTTAAATTTAGATTCATTGGCTAAATGAATAGTCAATGCAATTTGCATCAACTACAGACTTACATCAGATCCCTACTTACAAACGGGGATCCCTACTTACAAACCCCGCACTAGCTGCTTCCCCCCAGCAGACCAGGGAGACACAAAGCTAGTGGCCCCCGCCCCAGCAGACCAGGGAGACGCGGAGCGGCTTTTCTCAGCAGACATCTCAGCTTGTGAATAAAGGACTGAGGGAAGTGAGGTGTGGGAGAATAAAACTGAGCTCTGGAGAAATGTTTGGCTAGAGTTTCCCCTACAATATGTACCAGTTCCGACTTACATACAAATTCAACTTAAGAACAAACCTACAGTCCCTATCTCGTACGTCGATAAGGGTGCCTCCGCTTTTGAAGTGTAGCAACAGCCCCAGAGCTCTTGGGCAAAATCGCTGCAGGGAGCACAGGGCCAGCAGGGACTCAAGCAGTCCCCTGCTGGCCCTGTGCTCCCTGCAGTGTTTCAAAGCAGCAGCACTGCTTGGAGCCGGGGGTCAGCTAGAGACTCCAGCTGACCCTGGGCTCCATGCAACACTACGGCATTTAAAATGCTTAGGAGAACCCAGCATCAGGCTCCACATGGCGTTTCAGAACGGCAGCACTACATCGAGCCTGGGGTCAGCAAGGGAGTCCCCAGCTGACCTCAGGTTCAACACGGCACCGCTACTTTAAAACACTGTGTGCAGCACCAGGGCCAGCTGGGGAATTCCCAGCTGGCCCCCCACTGCATGCAGCATCTCAAGGCAGCAGACCCTAAGCTCCATGTGACGCTGCCGCTTTGAAGTAACCCCTCTGCTTCCCCCCCTTTCCTGCCTCTTTTTGATAGAGGCAGCAAGGCTTGGGCAAAATCGCTGCAGGGAGCACAGGGCCAGCGGGTGACTCAAGCAGGCCCCCACTGGCCTTGTGCTCCCTGCGGTGTTTCAAAGCGGCAGCGCTACATGGAGCTAGGGGTCGGGCGGGACTCCCAGCTGACGGCATTTAAAATGCTTAGGAGAACCCAGCATCAGGCTCCACATGGCGTTTCAGAACGGCAGCACTACATCGAGCCTGGGGTCAGCAAGGGAGTCCCCAGCTGACCTCAGGTTCAACACGGCACCGCTACTTTAAAACACTGTGTGCAGCACCAGGGCCAGCTGGGGAATTCCCAGCTGGCCCCCCACTGCATGCAGCATCTCAAGGCAGCAGACCCTAAGCTCCATGTGACGCTGCCGCTTTGAAGTAACCCCTCTGCTTCCCCCCCTTTCCTGCCTCTTTTTGATAGAGGCAGCAAGGAGAGGGAGAAGCGACTAGTCGATTAGCATGTCAACTATCTGATAAGCAAATACGTATCGGATTATCAAGCAGTCATCCCTACTCATGCAGCTCACTCACTAGCCTAAGTTGCCCATTGCTGATAATAAGTACCCAGATACTAGGGACGGTAAATTTTGATTAATCAGCTAATCAAGTAGTCGATGGAACCTCCATCAACTACTCAATTGTTGATAACTGGGGCGCTCGCTATCCCACTGTGCCTCTCCTTTTGAAATGTACAAGAGCTGTCTGCGGATATATTTTAAAGGGAGAGTCACAGTGGTTCCCTCTGCCTCTCTCCATTGAAAAGTATGAGAGCCCTGGCAGCTCTTGTACATTTCATACAATATGATGGGGACTAGTTTAGCTACAACTAATCAGGAAAGAGATCTTGGAGTTATCGTGGATAGTTCTCTGAAAACATCCACACAGTGTGCAGCAGCAGTCAAAAAAGCAAATAGGATGCTAGGAATTATTAAAAAAGGAACAGAAAATAAGATGATGAATATCTTACTGCCCCTATATAAAAGTATAGCACATCCATATCTTGAATACTGCATACGAATGTGGTCTCCTCACCTCAGAAGAGATATTTTGGCATTAGAAAAGGTTCAGAAAAGAGCAACTAAAATGATTAGGGGTTTGGAATGGGTCCCATATGAGAAGAGGCTAAAGAGACTGGGACTTTTCAGTTTAGAAAAGAGGAAACTAAGGGTGGATATGATAGAGGTATATAAAATCATGAGTGGTGTGGAGAGGGTGAATAAAGAAAAGTTATTTACTTGTTTCTATAATATAAGAACTAGAGGACACCAAATGAAATTAATGGGTAGCAGGTTTAAAACTAATAAAAGAAAGTTCTTCTTCACACAGCACACAGTCAACCTGTGGAACTCCTTGCAAGAGGAGACTGTGAAGGCTAGGATTATAACAAAGTTTCAAAAAGAGCTAGATAAATTCTTTGTTAAGATGCTAACTACCTTACCCATTACAAAGATAACTTCCCCCAATTATCACCCCTAATATCATTATCTCATAGACACTGACCTCCCTCCTCACCCCCTCCCTGTTCTAAAATCTGATTTGTCAATTTTATATGTGTTCACTTTTTTTGACTGTATCCCTTTGGTATATATGGTCATGCCAATTTTCTTCCACAATTTGATCTGAGAAAGTGGGTCTGGCCCACAAAATCTCATCACCTAATAAACCATCTTGTTAGTCTTTAAAGTGCTGCATAGTCCTGTTTTTTGTTTCAGCAAGACCAGACTAACACGGCTACATCTCTATTACGATACTTTAAGGAAGGCAATGTTGAATAAATACATCAGAGAAAAAACACACATACCCTATTTGTAGTGCAGAACACCTACTGCCTACCAGTCTTCCTTCCAACAGCCATTTAGTGGAATCATTTATCATGAGCTACACTCTATATTGTCCCTATAGAGAGGCGCCACATACTAAACACTCTCGCCTGCACCCCTTGCAAAGTAAAACGAGCAGGAATCACAGATGAATTCCCCACATCTCTCACTTTCGCACACACACTTACCATAGAGGTTTACAAAATCCCCTCGCGTCTGTGCGCCGCCTTCTCCCACTCCCGGGGCCCCATCCAGAGGGTTGGTCCTTCCCAGCCTTAGAACCAGCACAGCCCGTCGGCCACAACCAAGGATCCCCTGGGGGATGCTACTCCCCCCGTTTGCTCTTCTGCCCGCTCTCGCTCCCCCCGTGTAGGTCCCCGGGGGGCATTTCTGGGTGCATGGGGCAGGCCAGTCCCGCAGGAGCAGCCCCAGCCGCACGCGGCAGGGCCGGG